CGTAGATTGATCTACGGACCGTACTGTTGATCCGTAGATTGATACTGCGAGGGTTCCAGTACCTGATTTTTTGAAGATTCTAAGTGTGGAGCTACGGAGGGGATTGACGGACCGTAGATCGATCTACGGTCCGTCAATCCCCTCCGTAGCTCCACACTTAGAATCTTCAAAAATCAGGTACTGGAACCCTCGCAGTATCACTCTACGGATCAATAGTACGGTCCATAGATACAACTACGGACCGTCAATGGACACCGTGGTTCCACACTTGATCAGATTTCCCTGATTTGTCCTCAATACCCATGCCTGCTGATCTACGGTCATCACATACGGACCGTGAATGGACCTACGGTCCGTAGATCACCTCCGTGAATGCCCTTGTTTCTGCATTTCTTTCGGCTGTCTCTATACTTCCGCGCCTGTACATCTTTCCTGCAAAACATGATAAAAACACATAAAAACCAATATAAAAAGGTCCTAGACACACACAACTGGTAAATGAAATGTATTAGAAATACCGTAAACTCACGATATATCAAGATGCACCTAATTCACTGACATAACATTTCAATTTTTAGTTAAATGAGCTAGATAAAAAAGATCTGGACTTACAAGTATTTATCTGTCAACTTCATGATAAAAAAGCCTTTTGATTGCTTCATTTGTGTCATTTCTTAATCACATTAATTTGTTTTATAAATTGGTGGTCTTTTTCTATTTTGTTCTAAGAAATTGCTTGAGTTTTGTTTTCTAGAACTCTCACTTCTTTTTTTTGCAACAAAATGGATGAGGCTATAAATTCTAGTTATATGTAATTTCTCCTTTAATTCACGCATGTTTGATTCGAATGTGAGAATTTCTACATAGATTACATTATATTTTAATAGTTAATAGTCTTCATGAATGATAGAGTTTATGTTGCCATGTATAGTTTGTGATGATATACTCCATAAACTTTCACTTATGTTAAACTTGTAATGATAAAATTTATATTGTAAATTGGAAACTACTAATATATATATATATATATATATGGAATTGTAATATCAGGGACAATCCATCAAATAAGCCTTATTAAAGTGGGTATTAGAACATATGAAAGACAAATTGTGTTACACATTTTACTTTTGACTCTAGTATAATCATCTCAATCTAAATCTTTGTTTTATTTTCTCTCTCTTTGTACAGGTATAAAGGGTGAGAAATGAATCAAGATTGATTACCAGCTATGTATTACCACATTATTGATATTTTGGAAAGAATTTTTACTTATATGTCTTTGTTTAGGAGTAATATTTGATATATTTTAGTTAGATTTTCTTGTCATTGGACATATTTTACTTTTATTTAAGGAGTTTGTAATGAGATATTATTAATTTAGTATAATTTTAGTTATTTTTATTGTGTGATCATGGGTGAATTTTATGAAAAATATTTTTGTCATGAATTAAATTAATTCATCACAAGTTCATTACATTCAGTGACACAAAATGTATTGTCCTAGTACCCCCTTTTATTGAATATGAATTATTTTTTTATTTTGTGACAATTGTAATTGTAATTACTTATGATAATATTTAGTGACAATATATGTCGTCGATAAAAGCAACACTTTTAGTGAAAAAATGATATATTTAATCACAAAATTATTAACCTCTTTTATAATAATAAATTTGTCCCTAATTTATACATTAAGGACAAAATATTTTTTTTGTATATATTAAAATAGTCATTAGTGACGATATTGTATTTTTTCAACTACGAAATACATATAGCTTTAGAGACATTTGATGTCGTCACTGATTGAACATGATAAATTAGTGATGATTTAATTTTGTCACTAATAATAATATTTTTAGTGACAAAACATACTATTAACTACAAAAAAGTTACACTTTTTATGACAAATAAATTCGTCAGAATGTTTATGCATATGGGGACAATTTTTCTTTTTGTAGTTAATATAATATTTTAGTGACGAAGCACTAAATCGTCTTTGTAAACTTTTAGTGACACACGTTTAGTGACAACTGATTGATGAAATTTTTTTCGTCACACAAGAGTTTTAGTGACGAAATATGATTTATAGATGATGAAATTATTCATCCCTGATAACCAAATTTGTTGAATGTCGGGTTGGTTTGATCTCGAATTGACATTTTTTTTAGATAAAACCAAACAAATCAAGTATAGTTGTGGAATGGATCGAAAACCACAATTGACATTGAAAACTACCAATATCCCTTTTTTAAAGTTTAAATCTGAACTCATGGTCCATTTTATTTAATAAAATATGGGCTCCTAAATGGATCCACACATAAATATACCAAAAAAAGAGCTGGTCGGCCCAAAAGTGGTCAGACCAGGTGAATATAAAAGAACCCTAAATGATAGGGTTTTATGATTTGTGCTCTCCGCCTCTTCTTCTCCTTGTTCTCATCGCCTCTGCGGAGATGTTCTCTCTTGTGCTCCCCAACGGTAGCTTCTTCCCCCTTTGGTTATGGGGGATTAACATTCCCCACCTTGATGCTGTTGCTATTGTTGTTGCTGTTGAGATCAGTTTTTAAAGGTTCATTTTTTTAGCCATCTGGCTTATTCATTGTTTGGTTTCTCAACTGACTCTGCTTTTTGTTTGAAGGTGTACTACAAATTATTAAGTATTGGGAAAAATGGTGGAGAAGGAATTAAATTGATGTTGAGATTTTATATGCAAAATCCAACTAATTCAGGATTGAGGTATTATTGCAGTTGTTGAATTCCTATTTCTGTATTATTACTATACTGCATTTTCTTAGAAAAGGAAAAAAAAAGTATAATGTACTAGCTAGGCTAATTTTATCTGCATCAATTTCAGGATCCAAAATAGAGTAGAAAATCCTAAAACTGTCAGCAACATTACGTGTGAAAAAGAATACAGACTCCATTGTTCTAGTCTGATCTCAAGTTTGGAACCTTCTATTTCAGGAGACAAATGCAACTCTTTGGATAGCTACAAAAGTATAACTACTGATGGTAATAATACTAATACTTAACTTCATTCTATTTTTTTCTCCTATTTAAGATTATGATGATATATGTTGAATTCGATCGTTTAAGTGTCCACTCTTTCGTCAAATTTCTTTCTACGCCTATATTGACTACTTGTTTTTATGCCTTTTTAGTCATTGTTCTCTAATTTGGTTGTATATCGTTGCTTCAATAAATTAATTATAGGAAGAAGGTAGTTGAATTTGCTTAATAGAAATGTTAAAGAAAAGGCATTTCATAAGGTTTGTTTAACTCAAAATTATAAGAGATTCATAAAAATTAGGTGATACACTTTCTCATAAGATCGGTGTAGTAATTGCTCATGGAATTTAAAGATGTTGTCAAGTCATTACATTGAATGAAGAACTGAATGTTGTCATTACCAATATACTTCCACTTCCCCCTGAAAATATATCAATTAAATCTTAACTAATGGAAACTGAATATTCAGGGAGCAAGTATCATCTGTTTTTTTGGTGATACTCACGAAATTATAAATTGGAAAACCTACATGAGGACCTATTTGGTGAAGCTGATGCAGAGTTGTGAGATTCAACCTCTTATGTTTCTCTTGCTAATCCTAGTGAAAATGATTTAACTACTAAATTGACTCGCACAAATTTTAATTAATCACCTTATTGTAATTTTAGATATATTAGAGATATATTAGAAGCTTAGACTTGGTAATGGCAGGATTTGGGTTGAGTGAGGCTCAGAGTATTATTGCTTGTGATCTCTTTTACCACTAAGAGAATCAGAAGGCTTGAATTTAAAAAAATACAAAAGAGCATGTGAAGATTAGGAAAAAAGTGTTGTTTGATTAGGTGGTTGAATGTCTAGAATTTAGATGTAAACAGAGTTTTGGCCGAGGTTTTGAAGCTTGGGCAAAATGGACAACATTGATCAAAAGGAAGAAGTGGTTGTCCACTTTGCCCAAGCTTCAAGACCTCTGCCAAAACTCTGTTTACAATCAACTGAATTCCAGACATTCAACTACCGAATCAAAGAATACTTTTCTCCTAATCTTCAGATGCTCTTCTGCATTATCAGTTCGAGCCTTCTGATTCTCTAGCTGATCAAAGAGATCAAGAACAATAATATTATGAGTCTCACTCAACATAAATCTTCCCGTTACCAAGTCTGGGCTTCTAATTGTATCTCTACTATATTTAAACTTTCAATAAAGTGATTCATTGAAATTTGTGAAAGTCGATTTAGTAGTTGAATCCTTTTCACCAGCATCAACAAGAGAAACAAAAGAGGTTGAGTCCAACAACTCTTCATCACCTTCTACCAAATGGGTCCTCATGTAGGTTTTTCAATTCATGATTTCGTGAGATCCATCAAACAAAATGATTCTTGCTCCCTTAATCATAAGTTTCATCAATCAAGATATAATTAATATTTTTTTAAGGAAAAAATGGAAGTATACTGATATCATCACAATCTGAAATGGCAGAGAAAAAATAGAAAGAAACTAAATATCAGTATTGTTACCATCAGTAGTTAAACTTCTATAGCTATCTAAAGAGTTGTAATCAGTGTTTTCAAAAACGGTTGTTGGGCGAGTCTCAGGGCGGGACGTACCAAAAATGCTTGGGCGCAAATTGATAAGTCCTAGAATTTGGGGAGTAAGCACTAAGCATAAAACCCAAAGTTTTGGGCATAAAAACGTTTGCCCTGAGTGTTTTTAATTATTCTTTTTTTTTTTTGCTTTAAATCATATTTTTTTTATTATTGGTGTAGTGATATTTCTAAAATAGTAATTATTATACTTTTTTTCTTCATTATTGCTTATTAATATCTATCTCAAATAAAAATCATAATAATTTTTCTATATATTATAGGTTATTTATAAAAATTACTTGTAAAATAATTGAAAGTTTAATTTTACTTTTGCTTATTTTCTTAGTAATAAAATTATAAAATTGAATAAATGAGACTATGCCCCGTAGATCCATGGGACTTACTCCCTATGTCTCGGGGCTTACGTCTCGCCTCATGCCCCGCCCTTTAAAACACTGGTTGTAACTGCCTCCTGAGATAGAAGGTTCCAAACTTAAGTCCATATTAGAACAAAGAAGACTAAATTCTCTTTCACATGTAATGCTACTGACAGTTTTAGAATTTTCTATCCTATTTAGATCCTGAAATTGATGCAGATAAGATCAGTCTGGGACATCATATTGTTTTTTACCTTTCAAAGAAATGCAGTACAACTATAATACAAAAATAGCAATTCAACCATTGCAATGATGCCTCAATCCTGAATTAGTTGGATTTTGCATATAAATTATCAACATCAATTTTATTCCATCTTTACCAAAAAAAATTCCAAACTAAATCATTTGTACAATGAAACAAACTAGAGATATTGGTGGTTTTCAGTCCATTCCACCATCATGAAACTCTACCAACCACGTAGATATGGATAATCGAGTTCACCAAAAACATAAGAAAATGAAAAGAAATCACTTGATACTTTTCCTCTTGGAAGATATTGAACTTAATCACTGGTGATTTTTATCAATAAATAAAGAAAATCCATCGACGAATCAAAAAATAACTCAAAAACTTTGTTTCCATGGCCTTAATTTTGATAGATGAACTTCTTAGAGTCCTTCTAATTTTCCAGAAACACATTTTTATCCCACACTGCCTAGAAAGAGATATTTAATTTAACAAGTGACATATAAAATATCCCGGCATAACACATGGAAAAGCATACCTTTCTCGGCCTTTTGGCTAAGATCAAGTGTAGTATCTGTTCTTATCAGTTTAATATCTGATATGTGAGTCATTGACTCACACGATATTAACTCTATTTTTTAAGGGGGAGGTTCACCACGGTAGCTTGCTATCGGGACCTTCAATAGTCGCCCTGGTGTTGCACTACTGCCTTGGCCTGGCTCACCCCACCAATTCTAGTTCTAAAAACCTTTTTTTTCATAACAGTACACAATTTGTCCCTTCTAATTTGTAACTGTGCTACACCTAAAGATAAATGGTGAACCTATATATGGTTTTGTCGTCTAATATCAGACACAAGGTGAGCACCCAAAGTTCTCACTGACTGCACAATTTATCTTCACAGCACTCAGATAGTCGAACCCAGGACTGTACAGTGGCAGGGTATTGTTCTACCACTAGACCACTGGTGTTTGATGTCTTAAAAATACCATTTTATCTACATAATCGCAAAGTACCACCTCTAATGTAAGATCAAGTGTAGTATCTGTTCATATCAGTATATTACATTATACTGACTCTATTTTTTAGGGGATGTCCATACGGTAGCTTGCTATTGGGATTCAGGACCTTCAAGCGTCCTCTGGCATTGCACTACTGTCTTGGCTTGACGCACCCCCACTAAATTTAGTTGTAAAAGCTTACTTTACATTCTCACTTATCAATTATTTGGGAATTATAAAAGGTCATTCTCAAATCTCTAGAGTATCAAAAGATTTAATTTGTGTTATGAATCGACAAATCTTTAAAGATTCGTGAAAAATAATTTGTGTTTCTTATTAGTTTTCAATAGTGTTCACAACAGAAGAATATGAGGGGAAGGTCCATCACGGTAGCTTGCTATCAGGACCTTTAAACGTCGCCTAGGTGTTGCACTACTACCTTGGCTTGGCACACCCCACCAATTCTAGGTTGTAAACATTTCTTTCAATTGTTTGTTGAAGGAGTTTCTTCGAGATCCAGGACAAAGATATTAGTACTTAGGATTTTTGTGAAGTTATTATTAACTTTTAACATTTTTGGAGCAAGATCAATACATTATGGTGGAAAATGTTATGTCAACAAATTGAAATTTACATTTCTTGTTTTCTATCTTATTTTGGAACTATTTTGCAGCCAACAAAACGTAAATTGTTTCATTCACTACTATTTGATCAATGGAATTATAGACGATTAATGGGATTGAATTAGTTTAATATATAAATCCAGAGAAGATGATTACTAGTTTAACATATAGAAGCTCTTCTAGTCCCATACTGACTGGAAAGAGAGATTTTATGTAACAAAGTGAATATAAAATAGCCCGGCATAACACATGGAAAATCATACCTTTCTCGGCCTTTTGGCTAAGATCAAGTGTAGTATCTGTTCTTATCAGTTTAATATCTGATATGTGAGTCATCGACTCACACGATATTAACTCTATTTTTTAAGGGGGGAGGTTCACCACGGTAGCTTGCTATTGGGGCCTTCATGAGTCGCCTTGGTGTTGCACTACTGCCTCGGCGTGGCTCACCCCACCAATTCTAGTTCTAAAAACCTTTGATTTCATAGCAGTACATAATTTTTGGCAGTTTTATTCTAAAGAGCTCTCTATGCCATTGCAAGTTGCACATTTTAATTAAAATCAGATATGAACTAATATTAGCTATAACTTATAAAATCTTGAGAGTTAGACTAATGTTTCAACCTACCATTTGGCACCTTTTTTTTTATAAATGGTCACCCATAGTGTGTAAAATACTAATGAGTTCGATTTCCCATCTTGTAATCCTCCAACGACATTTAAAAATGATAGTGGAAAAAGAGAGGGCTCAGATGCGCTGTTTTGTCGTCTGTTATCAGACAAAGTGAGGACCCAAGTTCTCATAGACTACGCAATTTATCTTCACAGCACTCGAATAATGCACCAGCCGGGAATCGAACCCGGGTCTGTACCGTGGCAGGGTACTATTCTACCACTAGACCACTGGTGCTAGATGTTTTAAGAATTCCATTTTATACAATTATTCGCAAAGTACCACCCCTAAAATATATGATATCAATAAATTGAAACGTAAGATTGTGTAGTATATATTCTTATCAATATAATAATAGTAGTAAAAAACTACTGAGGTCGATGGGGATGACAATTGCTCTTATGACTAGTTTCCCTACTTAAACTACATCGTTGTGCCATGCGACCTGGAGCAATGCCCATTTCATTTCTACGAAGCCTAGTATTGTTGACTCCAGAAGTTTTCAACTATTGAGTATTACAATCAAATTGAATGGAAAAGGTGTCCAATATGACTCATCGCCCAATGGAAAATTGTAGTTCTAAGAGCAATACTCAATTGCAGTTTCAATTGAGTATTGTTTTTTTTTTTTTAAATAAAAATTATTTGTATGAATTTCTCGTTAGATCTAAGAGCATCACTATATATGAAAAATAACAAAGATGTCATATTTTTTAAAAAAAAAAACATATTCAATTGCAGTTCATGAACTAAGCCACAATTTTTGTTATAAAATTTTATTAGGGTCCGTCCATAATGAGGCAAATTCCAAAATTTTTTAAAAAAATAATGTTGTGATTCGTTGAGTTATGAGCGTACTCTAATTTTTTTAAAAAAAAAAAAATTGATCCAACTAAGACAAAGCAGAACGTCTACGTTTCTTTTTTTATGAACATGTTTTCTGCTCACCAAAAACAATTGCATCCATCATTTTCCTGAAATAACAAAACAAGAAACAACTGAATACCAAATATTTTGAAGTGAACAAATTAATTTTTTTACTTTTGAACATGCACAACTCCAAAATTTACGACCAAGATTTCTTGGAGTCCTTGATGTTTTCATTTTACAATACTCTTTGCATTTACAAATATCTAGTTCAATTGAATATACATACTTTCCGGATTGTTGAGACATGTCTATCAAATTTCAAAATTCAAAATATAAAGTATAAAAAGAGTAGAAGATGAATGAGAAAATGTGGAGTGAATAACACATATTTATTGTTGAAAAAAGAGATATAGCTTCATGTGAGGAAGAAAGAGACATAGATTCACGTGAGGAGCTAGTAAAAAGAATTGTAGTTTGCTTATTTGTGAGCGAACTACCTTTAAAGTTGTGTAATATTATTTTGGATGGATTTGGAGTTTCGTCCATAAATGGGCGAACTGTCCGTTTTGGTGTGTGTTTTTAGAGAGGGTCCCTTTTGGTGTTTAGGGTTCAAAAAGTGTCCATTTTGATGCTGGACTCCTCAAAAAGTAGCTTTTAGATCACATGCATAAATTTCGTACCTTATGTGACGACATTCTTGATTCTATCACTGATAGCATAATGTTAGATTTTTAGCAAAAGGTAGCTAAATTGATGAAATAATATTTGGGAAGCTCTCAAAGAATTAAACTAACATGACAAGTAATCAACTGTTAATTTCAGCAAAATTGTTGAAACTATTATGCAGCCAACACCAGTTGTTTCGAACCATAGTTCTTCTTAAGTTTTAATAGTGCTCAATTCTCGAAAAACATCTAATAAATACCGAAAGCAAAATTGTTGAAACTATTTTGCAGCCAACAAAACGTAAATTGTTTCATTCACTGCTCTTTGATCAATACTTACTATATTATAGACGATTAATGGGATTGAATTAGTTTTATATATAAAACCAGAGAAGATGATTACTAGTTTAATATATAGAAGCTCTTCTAGTCCCACACTGCCTAGAAAGAGAGATTTTATGCAACAAGTGACATATAAAATAGCCCGGCATAACACATAGAGAATCATACCTTTCTCGGCCTTTTGGCTAAGATCAAGTGTAGTATCTGTTCTTATCAGTTTAATATCTGATATGTGAGTCATCGACTCACACGATATTAACTCATTTTTTTGAGGGGGGAAGGTCCACCACGGTAGCTTGCTATCGGGACCTTCAAGAGTCGCCTAGGTGTTGCACTACTGCCTTGGCCTGGCTCACCCCACCAATTCTAGTTTTAAAAACCTTTTGTTTCATAACAGAACACAATTTGTCTCTTCTATGTTCCATTGCAATTCACATTTGAATTAAAATCAGATACTGAACTATATATTAGCTATAAGCCTATAACTCATAAAATCTTTAAACCAATGTTTCAACCTAGCATTTGGCACCTTTGTTTTTTTCCAGTAAGATGCACTGCACACTACTAAAAATAAATAGTGACCCTATATAGTCTTACCAGAGTCAATTTCAATATTATTTGATATATAGTCGGATCGAATTCAATTTCCCATCTTGTAATCTCCAACAACATAAAAAAATGATAATGGAAAAACAGAGGCTCAGATGCACTATTTTGTCGTCTGTTATCAGACAAGATGAGGACCCAAGTTCTCACTGACTGCGCAATTTATCTTCACAGCACTCCATAATGGACCAGCCAGGAATGCACCAGACGGGAATCGAACACTGGTCTGTACTGTGGCAGGGTACTATTCTACCACTAGACCACTGGTGCTAGATGTTTTGAGAACTCCATTTTAAGTAGTTATTCATATAGTACGATCAAGTGTAGTATCTATTCTTATCGGTATATATCCTATACCAACTATTTTTTAGGGGAAAGTCCGCACGGTAGCTTGCTATTGGAATTCAGGACCTTCAAGCGTCCTTTGGCGTTGCACTACTGACTTGGCTTAGCGCACCCCACTAAAATAATTGTAAAACTTACTTTACATTATCACTTATCATTTTTTTTGGAAATATAACGTCATACTCAACATTCTGAAATCTCTAGATGACCAAAAGATTCTATTTGTGTTATTGATTGACAAATCTTTGAAGACTCATGAAAAAATAATTTATGTGTTTCTTATTACTTTTCAATATTGTTCACAACTAAGGAATATGAGGGGAAGGTCCATCACGGTAGCTTGCTATCGGGACCTTTAAGCCTCGCACACCCCACCAATTTTAGGTTGGAGCAAGATCGATACGTTACGTGGAAAATGATATATAGGCAAAAAATTGTAATTTACCTCTCTTGTTTTCTATCTTATTTTGGAGTGATGAACCTTAGGAATAGACAATGGACTTCGGTAAACTTGTTATGTCCAGATGACTTTTATAAGCCATCTGTATAATTGATCAACTTGTTGCAGGATAAATGAGGCTTGCTCAAGTGGTTGAGCATCTTCACATCAACCTGTAGGTTGACGGTTCAAGTCATGTTGTAGGGTAAGTGACATTACTATTGATCCTCCTAGGGTAGGGTCGGAAAAATAACTTCTTTTTGAAGAGCATCTTGATACTAAAAATCTTCTTCTCTGTCAGTAATGCAGCTTAGGAATAGGCAATACGACTCATGTTAGCACTCACACAATGAAATGCACAAGCCGGGAATCGAACCACTCTGGTGAAAATTTATACGGTGTGATTAGTGAAAAAAAAATTTAGATATATATAAATAGTTCAGTCCCTTTGATATAATGCAAAGGTCGATCTTTCGAAGCTTCCAATTTAAAGAGGGTCAAAAAGTAGCTTTTTTAGATCACATGCATAAATCCCGTACCTTATGTGACATTCCTGATTCTGTTACTGACCGCATCACCTCTTAAAGCTTACCTTTGTTTCTTCATAGCAGAATGTTAGATTTTTAGCAGAAGTAGTAACATAACAAGTGATCTACTCTTAATTTCAGCAACATTGTTGGAACTATTTTACAGCCAACAAACGTAAATTGTTTCATTCACTATTATTTGATCAATGGAATTATAGAAGATTAAAGGAATTGAATTAGTGTAATATATAAACCAGAGAAGATGATTACTAGTTTAATATATAGAAGCTTTTCTAGTCCCATACTGACTGGAAAGAAAGATTTTATGTAACAAGGACCATATAAAATAGCCCGGCATAACACATGAAAAGTCATACCTTTCTCGGCCTTTTGGCTAAGATCAAGTGTAGTATCTGTTCTTATCAGTTTAATATCTGATATGTGAGTCATCGACTCACACGATATTAACTCTATTTTTTAAGGGGGGAGGTTCACCACGGTAGCTTGCTATTGGGACCTTCAAGAGTCGCCTTGGTGTTGCACTACTGCCTTGGC